TCTACATTGCCGGTCACAGTAGCCGAGCGGTCTAAGGCATGCACTGTCTTCGCTTGCGCGGAAGCCGGGATCGTGGGTTCGAATCCCACTCAGGGCATGGATGTTTGTGTGCGTTTTTCTGTGTTTGTCTACAGGTAGAGGCCTTGCGACGAGCTGATCACCCGCCCAAGGAGTCCTACCGTATGTCTAAGATCTAGAAAAACCGAAGTGAACGGAGAAGCTCATGGAGGTAGGCCTAGGCCCACAGGGGCTGTAGTGCCAAGGGGGAAAAAAAAGTAATCCTTATGCTAAATTAATTAAGCACGATGCCATGGAGGAGTGGAGGTATAGCTCCACCATTCTTGACGTCGGCACTACATGGAGGTGAGTGGTCACCGCGCCCCTGCCTCTTCACCCCATGGGGAACTCTCGATACCCATTGGCTATGAGACTGGGTGGGCCCCAGAGCCGGTTTGGATGCTGTGGAGAAGAGAAAAATTTTGCACTGCCAGGATCGAAACCGAGATGTCCAGCCTGTAGCCCATCGGTACACCAACTGAGCTATCCCTACTTCAACAAATAACTACCTTCTTAAAATTAAAAAATTCATGTGGAGTATAGCAATAAGTAGATTTCTGATGGAGATACAGAACAAAACTGCTTTACAGTTCTGTAGTTGTTTAGAACATGTAACCAAAACATACCCTGCCTCTTACAAAGAAAAGTGCACTGTGCATTCAGACGTCACTCGGCTAGGCCTGTCCTGAATAGCGAGTTCATTTGGTTTTCAACGAATGGAAGTAACCGGAGGCAAATTTGGATTCGTTTAGCTCTCTTTAGATTTACATGGGGAAGTTCGCAGCCACCCTGAAATAACAACCGCGTCGCAACAAACCCTTGTCGCCACGAATTACAGAAAGAGAACCAAGAGACAGAATTCTCTGTTATTTTGAATGCTTTGTAATACGAATGCCGGCCGAATTTGTCCAAAGGGTTAATTACTATCCCATGAGGGAGCGCTGTATCAGTACCTGCCTGGAATATGTTGTTATAGCTTTCGTTTCTACTGCCTCTAGAGAAGGGCAAGAACCAATATTGTTGTTATGCGTTTTAACCAGCATCTGTAACTCAGAACATGAAGACGGTGGGTATTCTGAACCTGTTCTCATCCACTGAAGAATATAGACAGTTCACGTAAGCTCTTTGCTAATAATTCAGATAACACGCTTCAAATCAAATAGGAAAATGTATTTCATGCATATTTTCTGCTTTCTGTTTTCCCGACTGAAAGACAAAGTGTAAATTAGTCTAGGGATAAAAAAAACAATGATTCTATATTTTCATAAAACTGAAATGTGTCCTTTGTTCTTCATGAAAATTCTTCCACTCGTTGATTTTGAATGTGCTTATTCCCCCGTGGAAAGAGCACCAACTACCCCTTCGATGGGAAAGGCTGGGAGAATCTTCGTTGTCGGTCTGGACGCTGTGCATAAGAGAGAAATCCTGCGCTGTCGGGAATCAAATCCAGGCCGTGAATCTCGTAGCCCGTCGCTATATCGACTGAGTCATCCCGACTCCAGCTTATTCAACGACTCCGTGGTCCGTAGTCCGCAAGCGAACTATACCGACCGAGCGACCGCCGCTTTTCGGCGAATTTAGTACCAACTTTAGCTGATAGAGGGCGTCACGTGGCCAGCGCAACGGTTCTCCAGGAACTCTGACCACTAGACCATAGAGGCGGTCCTTATTTAACTACGCTGCCAGTAAGTAAACATACACAGCGTCGAGTGATGGGATGATAGCGAGTAACGAATCGCAAAAGAATGTGGAACTAAGCAGTCGTGACCTATTATACGAGTTATCTCTGTTCTTGGATTTACACGTAGAGTCTGAGGAACCCCACGAAATATTCATTGAGGAGGGTCGATGTTCTGTCCGAGATTCGAACCGATCGTCTTCCGAAAAATGCAAGCCAGACGTGCTACGACTGGAGTCGGCGTGCTTGGTATTGTTCTGCAAAGGCGGACTTGAAGGCGTTAAATAGTCTTCAGCGTTCCGTTTGCTGACCTTGAGCTGTTTACGTTTCTGTTCAGTAGCGGCAAATACATAAAAAAAGATAATGTACAGACCCCTGCAAATATTTTTAGAGTTGTTGTTCTCCAAAACGGAGCAGGCTGCAGTGCAGTTGCTACAAGTCGGAAAGTCAAGGGTTCTATTCCCGATGAGGTCATTGGATTTTTTAATTGACCTAATATTTCCAACAGCACTATGGCCCTGGGATCGACACATCCACTAACAGAAATGAGTATCAGGAATCTTCCTGCGCTTGAGGCTAACAATGTCACCGCCATCTGTGAGCCGATTGTCTAGAAAGTGTGAGATCTTCGACGTCCCACAACTCTATGGGTCTTCACGGCCTGTTACAACGATAGCTTTACCTTAAGTTATACCTTGTTTTCTAAAACACAGCTTCAATTGCTAAAGTTAAAGATTGAGGTCTTTGATAAATGAAGTGAAATGGATGATTTATCATCTTACGTTTCATTCTGTTATTTAATTTTAAGTAAAATATTTTCCTCAGGATATGGACTATAGACTATTCTCGCCTGCAATATGTTTAAATTTGATGTGAGAGTACATTCAGTGGAGGCACGACTATGTGTTTAATTCGTTTTGCATTCCATATTCAAAAGATTATAATTGTACGAAGTAAGACCTTTTATGTATCTCAGTAGGAAAATATTTATTTTTCCTTCTCCTCAATTATCTTTCTGTTCAGCTTTTAAACAGTTGCTTGAATTAGTCTTAATAGAGCCCATAAGAAGATAAAATAAGCGGTAGAAATTCCATTTTCAAGAGAAATTCAAATATCGGACTGTAACTACAAGTGCTGTAACTAAGTCATAGACTTGCAATTGTTTCATAGACGAAACAGAGACGAAAGCGAGAAACACCATGGGCAAAATTGGAAGAGAAATGGCATAAATCTTAAATTTGAATAAGTCTTAAATTCTAAAATGAGTCTGGATAGCTCAGTCAAAAGAGTGAATGGATTAGGACTAGACAACAGGAGTTAGATTCCCGGCAATTGTATGAATTATTCTTTTCGACACCGCTCCCACCCCGTCTTTCATCTTGTGAGTATGAGGAGTTCTTCCCGCGGGGGTAAGAGATCGGTTTTAACGTTGCATCCACGTCAGCATCTCTTCACGGAGCGATTTCTAACCGAGGCTGCGTAAGAATACGATGATGTTACCATTAAAATAAAGACAAAAAATATAATCCCAGTAGAAATATCTGAAGTACTGAACTAAAGCTAGAAACATGGCGACAATAAACCAAGAAGTTCTGGGAAGAACTAATAGCATATTTTCTTTTCATATGACATGGACTGCATACGAAACGAAAAAATAGTGGGACACAGAGAGCAAGGATATTTCATAAGCTTCCTAAAAAAATAAGGACGGGAATACACAGAAGTCAAGGTTATTTCACAAGCTACATAAGCCTAAAAATTAAGGGAGATACACAGACAGCAAGGCGATTTCATAATCCTGCTTTTACTTTTTTTTTTTCAAAATAAGGAGAGTAGGCTAAAACACGTTCATGAAGAAATTCGGAAGAGATTTATATTTGGATGATCTTTGTTTGTTTGTTAAAAATGCTTTGCCTTCCCGTGTCCTCCCTGCAGTTCCAAAGGTTAAGGGCGGCCGCACACCAACTGCGTCAAGACAAGCATCAAGACATGGGGCAAAAGACGCAGTCTTGCTTCATTCGTGATTCGTCAGCATGACTCAGTCCGGTGTGCGGCGGATATCATAATCTCATTCCTTTCAACTATGCTCCTTTCTTTGCGTCATGTCGCAGACATCGTGTCTTGACGCATGCCGGTGTGCGGCCTACGTGTTTCATACACGTAGTTATGGGAGTGGGGTAAGGTTGAATGGTATTGTGAGCCTGCTGTAGCAGTCCCTGCTGACAGATGGCCATTGATTGGATGGAATTTGGCAGGGGAAAACCGAAGATCTCGGATAGAAACCCAGCCCATTGACCATTTGTCCATCACAAATTCCGTATGGAGTATCCTGAGACAACGCGGTTTTCCGCAGTGTCAAACCGACGACTTAAGAACTTACACTGTGAGTGCGGGTGCGAAAATTAGTCCCACGCCCTTAAATAAGATGATATGAAATTTCAGAGAAAGGTACTGAGAACAATGTCCGAACATAATTTGTACGTTCTGTCAGATATTATCAGGGAGAATTAGATTAGCGGCATATGTAGCACGCATGATGGGAATGTATGGAATGTTTTAGTCTGAAACCCTTGAAGAAAGAATACCATAAGGTGGATCCAGGCATGGGTGGGAAGATGTGAGAATTTGGTCTAACTCCAGATAGGATTCAGCAGCAACTTCTTATGAACACGGTTATGAGTCTTCGGGATCCGAAAAAGACGCAAAATATGTTGACTAACCTGGGAGACTATTGTCTTCTCAAATAAGTTCACGCAGAGACTCAGTTAAGGAACAGAAGCAACTTGGACTAGAACCCAAACCTTTAACGTCCGGGCTTAATTAAAAAAAACTCTACCTACAATTTGGATAAGGTCGCGGGTTCCTTCCCCGATGACATCACTGGAATTTTCAGTTGACCTAATCCTTCCAGCCGCACTGTGGCCCTGGAGTTGACTCTAACAGAAATGAGTACCAAGAATCTTCGTGGGAGTAAAGGGCGGCCGGCTCTTAAGGCTGATAACTTCACCGCCATCTGTGATCCGATTGTCTAGAAAATGTGAGAGCCTCGACGTCTCACAACTCTATGGGCCTCCACGGCCTGTTACAGAGATAGCTTTACTTTTTCTTTTCTTACACTTTGCTGGAAAATATAAAGGCATAATTCTGCATGTCGATTCCAAACAATAAATCAGCCGAAAGCTAGTGCTTGCAAAGAGAAAATATTTTTAAAATGATCCCGTAGGATGTAACCGTATGAAGTTAATTCATTTCTTTATTGATTTAGGTTCCCGGAACGGAAGGAAGTGATCATCAACGCCACCAGCTCATAGCAATCAGGGAATCAATCAACAGTCCGCAAGGAAACCTGTTACAGCACCGACACGTGCACGCCATCACTCTCAATAGACACGCTTCTAGGTCCCGTCCCACCGCCCTCGTAATTCGATTCTACAAACAGGCTGCGCCGGAATCGAGCCCCGCTCCGAGGATCAGCTGAAAGGTAAGGTAAACTTGTCCCTGTGCTTAACTAAGCACTACGCCATGAATGTGTATGGGGGAGTGGATGTATAAATCTACCCTTTCTTGACCTTGTTACTAGTTAGAGATGAGTGGTCAGCTTCACGTCCCGGCCGCTTTACCCCCCGTACCCCTTGGATAGGAGGTTGGGTTGGCCCAAGAGCCGGTCTGGATGACGTGGAGAAAATTCTTGTCCCCACCGGGACTCGAAACTCGAGTCCAGCCCGTAGCCAGTCGGTATACCGACTACGCTACTCCGGCCCTGCTTCAGGCATGAGGAGCGTATTTATTGTCATTTGGTTGAACAGACAGACATGTAAAGCATTTTAATTAGTGCGTGTGTCTCATTATCAGCTGTAAACGGAACAAATACGGTTGGTATCGCGGTGGACTTTTTGGGCTTTATTAATCGTTCTTTTTTATTTAAAACGACGTTTCAGGGAGTGTACTCTGTGTCCATCCTCAGGTAAAAAGCCTACTCGGAGACATCTCCAGAGAAGGGATTGATTCTAAGTAGGGTTTCAGCCTGAGGACGGAGATAAACGTGGCTGTAAATAAGAATAGGACGATGGATAATGTCCAGCAGGTCAGTCATTGCATTAACATGCCAGAGTTATTAATTTTTAGATTTAGCAAAGAATATAATTCTTACTAATGTGTTATCAATTTATTGTTTTTTCTGCAGGAATATAACATAATCATTTCTCACTGAGAAGGGATATAATTTTTCAATAGTTTAAGGTAGTGTTTCTCAGTATTTATCTCGGCTTTTCTTAAAAATCGCCCTCTGGCTGTAACCTTCTTCTCTCTAGACAACGAAAAAAAAATCGTTACTGATGAACTGAGGCAGTGAATTATATATGAAATCTGTCCGCCTGCTAGTGAACCTGCAAATTCTATTTTTTCATTACATAGCCTCAGTTGCAGAGCCTGTATTCCGCGCGCAATTTCAGAACATGACGGATGATGACGTATTATATTATTGGTTTCTCATTTTCGTTCCAAAGTGCTTCGGACGATCTCGGCGTTGTAACTTACCTCGTGAGAGCTTTAGAAATATCCGAAATTTTCTCAGCCTTCTGCTAACCGATTCTTCACCGAAATTAACATATTTCTGACTGTATGTTTCAGTCTGACAGCACGAACCGTACATCGACCACCCATGTGAAACTTAAGGTACTGAATCCAAGTTGCAGATTCCTGGAGAAGCTAAGAATCACTAAGCTAATTACGAAATTCTCTGCTTTAATGCAACCCGAAATGTCACTACCATCCTCACATTATTCCGAAACTTGTCCCTGTCCTGGACTAGACAATTTCAATCCAAGCTTTCCTATCCAGTTTCTAGAAGATCCAGTTCAGGAACACCTCTACACTAAGGTCGTCCAGCTGGCCTCTTCTCTAAACGCTTTCCTACTAAAACTCTGTGTATATTGTGACGTTACAATATTTCTCACATGTACCATCCGAACTACGTGATCCTCCCATTGGATTATCCTTATTTTCATCAACATAACAAAATCTGAAGAAGAGTAAAAATTATACAGTTCTTAATATGTAACTTTTTCCGACCTTTTGTTACTTACTGTTTCTCAGATTATTTTTCTGGTCGCTTTGTATGTCATTTTTAAACAAATGTAAATATAGTTTAATTAAATGTTAAACACCTTAACATATGATTTTCAGTACAGCTGGATCGTGCAAGACATTAAATAAGATAAGGGTAAGTAAGCGTAAATAAAAACAAAGAAAAAAAACACTAATTTTATCCGTGATTCTGTATGGATGTGAAACTTTGTCTCTAATACTAAGGGAGGAACACAGACTGAGGGTGTTTGAGAACAGGAGGTTGAGGAAAATATTTCGGCCGAAGAGAAATGAAGTGACAGGAGGTTGGAGAAAAATGCACAATGAAGAGCTTCAGTACTCTTCTCCAAATATAATTAGAATGATTAAGTCAAAGAGGATGAGGTGGCCAGGGCATGTAGCACGAATGGGGAGAAGAGGAATGCATATAGGATATTGGTGGGAAAGCCAGAAGGAAAGAGACCACTGGGAAGACCAAGGCGTAGGTGAGATGACAATATTAAATTGGATCTTACAGATATAGGATGGGATGGTATAGATTTGATTTATCTGACTCAGGATAGGGACCAGTAGAGGGCTCATGTGAATACGGAAATGAACCTTCGGGTTCCATAAAATTCTGGGAAATTCTTGAATAGCTGCAGAATTTGCGGCTACTCAAGAAGGGCTCAGCTTCCCGAGTAAGTATGTGGTAGGTAAGTAAGTAAATAAAAACACTAGTAGCACCGTAAAGGTTAAGAGAATTCATTAATATTTTAATACACTGGTTTTCTTCTGACGCAAAACAGTGATTTTACATTAATGTTTTTTTTTCCTGAACTTCGGGAAGAAAAGATATTGATTCATATCTTTCTCTGTCAATCCGTGTCACCGTGAAAAATTCATTGTACAATTATAAAATCTGGGAGATACGAGTACTTTAATACTTGCTGTACCTGTTAGAGAGTATTTTCTGTTTTTTTAACGCTAGTGGGGTGGGACTAAGTCCCTTGTACTGCGGCCACTTCTGGCCTATTGTACCAGCCCTAGATGATAGGTGAGGGTGATTGTGGAGCATTTGGTGGAATGAAGATTGGCAGGGGAAACCGAAGTACTCGGAGAAAACCTGCCCCAGCGCCACTTTGTCCACCACAAATCCAACTTGACCAGACCCGGGATCGAACCTGGGCCGCCGCGATTGGGAAGACAGCGACTAACCGCTTGGGCTATGACGCGGCCATTTTCTGCATTATATGAAAGGAAAACTCAGCTATTGAACATAAAATTCCTTTTCGACTGCATCCTCTTTGTTGTATTACAATTTTTGGATTACAACAGCCGTGGCCAAAAAGGGAACACACATCACGAGACACGGTATACACGGAGTGTGATAGGAACGACTCCCACAGTGGAGGAACCATGCGCGGGTTTGAATTGGGACACATAAGATGAATAATCTTAACACGTTTTAGTGTATAAAAATTTATTATAGTTGACGAATACTTTTTAAAAACTTTTTAAATAATTTTATAATGATATATAATGGCAAGCAATGCAATATATTAGCGTAAATAAAGCACCTTATGATGGCACTATGTTGCCGAAACATGTCGTGAAGTAACAGGTGAAACTGAGTGCACTACAAGACGGACACTGCATACACATCATGGATGCATCCTCTTTACTGTCATACAGGAACTAGAAGTACCGTTCATTGGGCTTTTCGACAAGGTGACCAGAAATATGGTGGATAAATGCAAACGAACCTTGCTCTTCGGTAATAAACACCCCAAGAACGGTCGCCATTTTGACTACAGAAACCAGCATCTGAACATTCGCATGCGTGTCTACAACGTAGACTGTCATGGAGCTGGACTGTGCTGCTACCTAGTGATACATATAGAAAACCTATTATGTTCATTACAGCTGTTTTACTTTCATTTGTGACCCATTTACTGATCCCTCCCTCCCCCCCTCGTATTCGGTCTGTCACCCTAGGCTATACGTGTATAACGAGCACGAACTAGGTAACTTAGGTAGTCGAAAAGGAGGCCCCATTTCGAAACACGAACGTGTCTAAGAGAGATCTTGATTATGGATCTCGAGGAGACTGAAGCCCGGATTGACTGTGCTGGCGAAGACCAGCAGCAATTTAACTGACCCACCGACCTCAGTCGAGAATGTGAAAGAGTCGTCTTCATGGTTCACTTGAGAGTCGATGAGTTAGTTGTGAGGCAGTCGCCAGCCGATAACGACGTTAGAAGAGATGAACACTGTTGGGATCCTTCACCAGGCAACTCCTAGTGAAGACACAGAAGTCTTAGCAAGTGTTTTAGTGAGAAGTACATTGTGTGAATTAGTGAGAACGTTACACCTATTTGTAGTTATGGACTATAAAACTGGCTGCCTCTCTGGTCTTGTGGTCAGAGTTCCTGGCTACAGATCCGGAGGTCCTGGGTCCGATTCCCGGCGCTACCAGATTTTATGAGGTTTATAGCCCCTCCGGTCTAGAAAACCGAAATTAAAGGCCGTGGGAATTCGTTGTGCTGTTAACACGACACTCTCTATCCGCCAAACTCGGCACTAACTTCGCCGACAAGCGGCGGTCGCTCGGTCGGTATAATTCGCTTGCGGATTAAAGCCACGGGATTTGTTGTTTTTTGTTTGTTTTGTAGTTATGAACTATAAGCATTCAGGAAATCCAATTACAAATCCAAACACCGTGTCTAGTCACAAACACGCGAAAATATAATCTGCTCTATATACTCGATCAGTAGCAGATGAAGACCTTTCACCTTCTCTTGCCTTTCAAAGTGTTTGTCTGGACATGTTTGTGAATTCATGAAGTGCATTTGGAACTGATCTCCTACTCTAAATATTTTATAGTACTTGTAATTTATACACATAACAGAGTTGCACCGGATTTGTTAACCAAACGAATGTAGCAAATGAAGAAAAATACAGTATTCTTTTTTATAAGCAACTGAGGGGTATAGAATAGACCTCACATTTCAAAAGGATTTGCTTGCTTGGAAGCAACCTACGCTTCTCTTCCAGAGGTGGATAGATGGCAGGACAGGGCACATCTTCAAGTCAAATTAACCCCTGCTTTTGAGGTTTCCCAAACCGTTTGAAGTCTGAAATGCAGTCGATTATGGTTTTGTATAAGGGAGATTCCTTTCCATGGGAAGTCAAAGCGTTGCCCAGAGCTACAATCATTTACATGAGAAGAACTCTTCTGAGTTTGCCCCGTATACTACTGCCTGTACTTTGATAAAACTTATGCTTTGGCCAGAGCTTACCAGAAATATAAGTGTACTAGAGGGGAGTTTTGTTTCATTGTGAATTCTTAGATGACATGTTCTTGAAAATACTGTCTCTCTCTGAACCTAAGAACACGCAATGATATCAGTCTTCATATGGAGTGCAATTCGAAAGATGGCTGCCACAGAATTAAAGCGTGGAAATATCTTTATTGCATAATGCGTAGTACTGTAGAGAACTGATCTCGGTGTTCCTAGTGGTGAGCTGTTAGTCGAAACTGAAGGCTGCCTCTTTAACTCATTATAGGTCTTTCAGGATCTTTCTGTCTTTATTTGAATGCTCTTAATTCAATAACCAGGGACTCTTAATTCAATTCAATTCGTGTCTATTTACGTGCAAACTTAACAGCACATTGGCCAATTACAAAGTTAGCAGTAGTACACAGAAATAAACAAAAATAACTAAAGAGCAAAATACAAAATATGACAGTCTATATAATAGCAATAAATTAATAACAATTAAAAAAAATTGAAGTTAGCTTTAACATGCGTGAAAAATAAAATAAGTACATTTCCAATAGTTATGCCATTAGTGGCGAGAGAGGACAACACATGTACATACGCACATATACGTTAATAATAATAATGTGATAGTTATAATATTAATAAATCCATCAACATAAATTAAATCTATCATTGAGAAGGGAGAAAATTAAAATATACACAATTAGTATTTTTGATGATAATAATAATAAATCAATTCTTTATTAATGTCAGATGGACGGTATTCATCCGCACTGGAAAAAGTTCCTTCGTTTTGCTTTGTGTTATGAACCACTTACAGCTGGAAATATAGAGGGAAAAACTCCACCGATTCAAACATCTGATTCCCAAAAACATTTATTGAAATTACTGCTGAAAACAGCATAATGAAACAAATCTGCGACATAACATTATACGCATAAGACACCTGTCACATCAATAAACACTTGCCGGAGTACATAAACTGGCGTGAAGCCGTGTCACGTGCCATGCGTTGAAGCAGATGGATAAGAAAGAGTCCGAATTCGTGGTTTCACACGGACATAAAAGCGGAACAAGGGAGAATAATTGAATATCTGGATGGCAGCAGGAGAAGTTGCGGAGGCCTGTATATCATGAGGACTGCTTGCTCTAAGATCCCGTAGTATGTGAGGGGGTGGGGGAGGGGGATCCTGAGAAGAATCGATGAGGGTCCAGCTGTTGCGAGAGGTCATCCATCCTCGGTTCGCTGACAAGGGATTACCTCAGCACCTCCACCCACCAAACCAAGCCGACAACTCTCTGATCTCAAAACAACAACCGACTAACTGCCGCACCTGATCATTTCGGGGTAACTTTGAACAAGAGGCGAACCAGACTGAAACCAAGGGCTGATGTTTTACATCAGCGCAGTCAAAATCTCAAAACTGAAGTAATTTTCTTCCAGTACTTATTTTGAAAAAGCATATGATTGTTTGGATATGCTAAAATTACGTTCATTGTTGACTTTATATCTTGTATGGTCTAATGGATGAAATAGGTTTATTATAATGTAGATTCTAAAGTCAGAATATAGGGATTACGAAAATTGTGCTTTATCCCTTCTTTGGGGAAATCTGCCCCGAGCATTGAGCAGTATAACTGTCTGCAGCAATATGTACTTACTACTGTGAGCTTCTTACACAATGCAACCGTGAAGTGACTTTTGCGTTATGTGTCGGCCCAACGTGACGGGGAGGGCCAACTTTTCTGTCTAAATCCAAACTTAAAAAAAAAAAAAAAGATTCTTCTATTCTTATGTCCAAGAACATTTAAAAACTCTAATCATAATAACTTTTAAATTTGAACCAAGCATGGCCTACC